CCTTTTGTAATTTAAACCATTCTTAACTGAAAATATTTGGGATCCATGTAAATGGGGGATACAGACCTAAGTATGCAATTTACAAGCCTCCTGCCTGCAACGATTTTTGTGCCTTCTTGGCATCCTGCATGTGCTGCAAAACATAGGAGTAGAGACCCAGGCAATTTAACCTCATCTGAACTACAAAGACTGAGGGTGCATGAACCTAGTGTGTGTGTGGGGGGTCTAGCTCTCCTGAACCGCAAACAGAGGGTGCATGGCAAAACAGGGGTGCAGGCCTATGCAAAGCAAACTCTCCTTAACGGTGAAGATTTAGAAATGATGCATGAAATCCGGAGCGCTCCAGCCCCCTTTCATTGCAAAGCCTGGGGAGGGGGGTCGGGGAACACACGCCTGTGCAGCGCCTGGACTCACCTAATGGCAAAGCTTTTTCTGCCTGCAAGCGACTGTGTCCATGAAAGGCACAAACCAGGGCGGGGGAGGCGTCTGCCCTCTCCTAGCCCCGGAGTGACTCCCCCGCCCTTCGGCCCGATTCCCCACGCGGCTCTGATTGATGCCCCGGCCAGGCTCGGAGACGCGCCCGGGGAGGGGGAGCCGCTGCCGCTGCCCGAGGGAGGAGGCGCCGAGGCAGCAGGCGAGACGCGGCTGCTCCTCCTCCGCCTCGCAGGAAACCAGCGGTCGGTCACAGAACTAGCCGAGGCGCCGGCCGCCGTCTGCAGCTGCAGCAAACGAGCTGCGACGGGAAAGGCGGGGGGGGAAGCGGGAGCGATCCGGGCTCTGCTGGGGGGGGGAGCCGAGCCGCATTCCTTGCTGCTTTGTGTGTGTGTGACCTGCCCCTTGCTAATACTGGGGTGCGGGGGCACCCGCCATTACAACCTCACTGCAGGGGGGGAGCCACATCAGCAGTCCCAGCCGGGTTCCTTAGCTGCCTGGGGGCAGCCAGGCTGGGCAGGCACCAAACAAGGTCTGGCATTGCTACACCCACCCTCGCTCTCTCCCTTGCAGACCCAGGCACTGAGGAGGGCTGTGCAGATCCTCTGTGGGAGGCCAGGGCACATTCCAGGCCCGGAGATGCCCTGAGAAAAATGACCCCTCCTGACCCCTTGGCAGACAGGAGCTCATGTGCACTGGCTGGCCACCTTCCCCTCGGTCAACCCCGCCCAAGAAGGTGGGGGGGGGGAAAGGGGTCTCTCTTTCCTTTTGCTGGGTTGATTTTGCTTCTGACGGTTTTACAGCAGCTGGTAAAAGGTTCAGGCCCAAGGTAAAAGTCTCCAGCTCCTTAGAGCTGCTTTCCCAAACTGCTTCCACGGCGATATGTAATTTGCTTTCCAAATCAATCCTCCCTTATCAGACCCCAAAAAGGACCCAGACAGGGCCCGAGAGCAAGCACTGATTTTGATTAAAACTCTTGATGTTACAAATTCCATTTGACAGGGTAGAAGAGTTGGATCAATTAAATGTAACCTTTGCAGAAAGGAGGGCGGGGACCAGGTGTTTGGGCCATTCTGCTCTCAGCTTGCAGCACCAGCAAGAGTAACTCACCCATAAGCAGCTAGCTCTGCCCCCTTTCAAAAAGAATTCATGAGCTTGGCTGGCCTGTTCCTGTTGACAGTAGGCCATCTCATCTACACCAGATTCCCAGCAGTGTAAACTTCCCTGGATAGTATCAGGCCCACAGTTCCATTGCATGCTCTGGCTACAACCATAGCAGAGGGACCCAGATCTCACGGGTGTAATTCACACGTTCCTGCTGTAGTAAGTTCTGTGCAGGATGGCTAAGAGCCCCCTGCTCTCACTGATTCTTAAACCACAGTCATCAGACAGGGAAAGATAAATTGTCCCCATTTCTTAACTGTTTCCTAGTATAATTGCTTTGAATATATAGTGCATGCAAATACTACAGCGCACTGTCAGGGGAGTCCAGATTTAATGTGAAACTGCCAGTACACACTGGAGAGAGAACCAGCTAAATCATGCTTGCCTGACAAGGGAGAGTGAAGTGCCAGTGGAACCTCTCATGTGAGTAAGGCAAGTGGGAGTTGGTCCATGGATAGTAACTCATGGATTGTAGAAAGAAGAGTAAAGTTAGCATCAATAAGGTTTTCCTTCAACGGAGGAAGGATGGTCTTGTGGTTAAAGCAGCGGACTGGGAGTCAAGAGACCTAGGTTCCGTTCTTCGTTCTGATGCAGTTTTCCTACATGTGACCTCAGGCAGCCACTTAAGCTCCAGTCCTACAGTGAGATCTACTGAGTACAGCCCTGTGTTGGTGCAGAATCCCACTCGAGTCTGTGGGGTTCCGTGAGAATGCAGGAGGCCACTTGTATGGATCTTGTTGCAGGATCGGGGCCTGATTTTCCAAGGTGTTGAGCATCCAGAAATCCCAATTAAGTCACTGGGAGCTGCAGGTGAAAGTCAGACCCTCAAACCCAGAGCTGGTTGTAAGAGCAGGCAAACATGGTGATCAACCTAGACTCCAACTTTCAGGGGGTGCTGCACCACTCAGACTTTTTTAGGGGAAGGGGGACAAAAATGTTTTCTGCCCTGGCTGGCAAAACAGCTCAAACATCTTCGTACTTCAGCTACCCCATCTTTAAAATGAGGATAATGACACTTTCCGACTACACAGAGGTGTGGTGAGGCTAAAGTAATTAGAGTTTGCCAGATGCTATGCAAGATGCTATATAAGTGCATTGTTTTTACATTTTAATTTTACTTTAAAAGGACTTGTATTAAGACACATTTATCAAATATCATTATCTCCATCTTTCACTTCAGTCATTTCTTAATAACTTTAGGTTGTCTTCCTGGAACACTACAGCATACTCAGTGGTTTTAACAAGCTTATGACAATAATGGTTAGCTTTCTCATAGCATGATCTACACTCAAAGTAAGGAAAATTATGCCAAGAGCACGCTGATTGCTACACAAAAATGAACAAAATAAAAGCCAGTTGCTGTGCTAAAATAATCCAGAATAAAGGTTATTCCGCTGTCAAAACCTTTCCTACTTCATCTCACTGGGAGAAGGGGGCTGGGAGACATGTCAAGACAGATTTTCTTTTCCTTTCCTAATACTAAATGAGCTTCTATTTCCATTGATATCAGGAGTTTCTGAACTTTTTCAGTTTAGACCACGTTTTAACATGGAGATCGTCTCCAAGACAACTCCCCTCCCACCTGCAATCAGGTAGCATCCCTGAGGCAACAACAGCAATTGCTTATGTAGAAAAGTAACCTTAGGAAAGTATTTAGTGTCGTTTTAGCTGTCTTTTAATGCAGTTTAGCAGCTGGAAATGAGGAGCAGCCATCATCATGTGATCAGCCAGTTCTCAACAGACCACCAGCAAGTGCTCTGCAGACACCATGGTCCATGGACCAAAGTAAAGGAACCTCTCTGATCTGTAGGGTCAATAATAAAAAAAAGTGCACAAAGGGCCCAAACCCGTAAACACTAATTGCCCAGCATAGTGCTTACTACTGTGAGTTGTATCACTGAAGTCAATGAGACTACGGAGGTGAAATTAGGGCAACCAAATAGCAAGTGTGAAAAATCGGGACAAGGGTGGGAGGTAATAGACGCCTATATAAGTCAGAGCCCCAAATATTGGGAATGTCCCTATAAAATTGGGACATCTGGTCACCCTAGGTGAGATGCTGGCCCCATTAAAGTACTGTACATGGCAAAACTCCCATTGACTTCACTGGGGCCAGGGTTTCAACCTATGTGACTTACTAATTGTGAGATAGTAACTGAAAAATTATATGGTGAGATAAATAGTATCTTTAGGTTTTGTTCTGCGATGACTTTTTCAGTGTAAACTGCTACAGCACAATATGCGCTCAAAGAGTTAAGTTACAAATATAGATTATATATTTGCTTTGACTTCTGCAGGCCACTTACTGAACATTTTTCTAAGCAACTTTTCATTTAAACATGCATATATATATATATATATATATATATGAATATACACAGAGGAATCATTTAAATTCTGGGATTCTAAACATACTTTACTTTCTCAGAGATTTACCATGTATGACCTCATAAAGACAACAGAAGAAAAAAAATATCCTGGATAAAAAAATATATAGAATAGCATTTGTTTCCACAGTTCTCGTTATAAAAATGCATTCAGTTACAATGATTCTTCCAACTCCAGGATTTAGTTTAGTTGTGTGAACCAAACAGGCTTTTAACTGATAAAAATAATTGTAACTGTATCTTTATAGTGTACACACATATCCCAGCTACACATATTTTTAATGTCTTAGTTCTATGCAAGACACACTTCTGATTCCGCGCCACGCTGTATTTATGACATCACCATCTTCTCCATGGAAATCCTGATGTCACACATAATGAGATTTTAAGAGTCCCCAAGAAATACTCAGATGGGGGATGTAAAGCACCGTGAACTCAATGTTTAAGGTGAAGCAAAATAGAGCTATAAAAACAATGATCACTGTCAAGGATGAGAATGTTATAAAAGTTTTTTTTTTCTGAGGAGAGGAGGTGGTAGCTCCAAGATATGTTTGTTAATCCTTCTCAAGTTTATCTAAACCTTTTGCAAAACATGAGTATTCTGATCCTAACATGTGGGTACTTTTAATTTCCTTTGTTTCAGTTGCTTTACCCTTCCGCAAAATACACACACACACAAAAGAGGGGGTGAGGCTGGAGCTGGTGAATGATTTGCAGTTTGCATAGCTGTGATATTTCCCCCGGTCAATCATACATGCACACTCTGCATTACATCCTTTGGGTTAAGCACTGCTTTGCCCAGCTGCTCTGTTTGCAACCTCTCCTTCCTCTGACATTTAACAAGACTGCAGCTATGCTCACAGTGCAAACCAGCACTTTGGAGAAGGCTCAGTGACTGACATCCCTAGCCCTTTAAGATCACAATTCCGTGATTACAGAAGGAAAAGAAAAAAATTAGGGAAAAAAAAGAGTGGGGAGGAGATTTGACTAAAACACATATTTTAGCAATAATCTTACCACTGGAGACGAAATTCGACACCCAGGGCAATCACAGATTGGAGGATGTACCTGTAAGATTCCTTTGGACATAAGAGTCTTCAAACTTTTCCCTGGATGCAGAGGAGGAGAAGAAAAAGAAACAGCACTGGTTTAAAAAATAATAAAATAAATGGCTTTGCAGAAAAAGCAACTCGGATCTTTCCATGCAAACTCACAGAGCCCTTCTCTTCCCGTTCCCACCAGTGCCCACCCGACATGGCTCATGCTTGTACCTTAATTGAACTTTCTACCCTGTAGAAATCGGGAAGAGAACCACCAGCGCAGCCCTCATTAGCTTCCCTCTAACCTTGTTAAAAATGTTCTCGCAGTCTGGAGAGATGACTAATGAACATAACAACCAAGCGCTCCAGCCCTGCATGTCCACCCCCTTCCCCCACCTCGCACACATCACCCCGGTGCCGTTCTGGGCGCGGGTAAGGGATGCATTTGCAATTAAAAGCAACGGAGGAGATATTGAATGCAAACCACAAGGCAGCCCGAGACAGCTTCTCCCCCGCCCTCCCCCTTTCCTCCTCCATCCATTTAACCTCAGTCCTCCTGACTCACCCCAGAGGGACTGAGATTTCCTGAAGACAGCCAGGAGCCCAGTGATAAAAAATGAGGAGAATAATCATAATTAGAGCGGCCCCTGGAGTTATTCCCCTCTTCTCTGGCGATCAATAAACAAGGCGAGGTGTCAGTCACCTCCTAATGGCTCTTCAGACCCCTGGGCTGACACCTCCAGCTCTCAGCTAATTACATGTCACACTGACTCTGTCTTTCCGCCTCTCCCCACCGCCTCCCTAGGCAGCGCGTCCAGGGAGAGCCAAGCCCTCAGCTCTCCACCTGCGGAGACACCAGCCGCTCCTCTCCGCCGTCCCCGGGTTCTGGACCTGCCCAGCTCGGGTCCAGCTGCGCCGGGGGAGGTGGGCAGCTGTCAGCAGAAGGCAGACCCGTTGGGGTCCCGCACCACCCAGCTGCTGGGCTGGAGGAACCCCCCGCCCCCTCCTCCCCTGAGGCGCCTTTCCTCATTTACAGAGTGACAAGCCAGCACATTTCTGCTTCAAGCACTCACAACTTCCAAACTCACTCCCCCCCCTCTTCAAACAGACACACACACATGCAGCCAAGTACACAAACACAGAGACAACTACACACAGACAGCCACTACTATACACACAGAGATAACAAGAATACACACACACAGTCACAGTTATATACACAGATACCACCACCCACACAAACGATAAAGACAGCCACAACTATACATACACAGATAACAACGACCCACACACACTGCCACAACTATACACACACACGGATAACAACAATACATAGACACAGAAAATCACAATTATACACACAGATAACGATAAACACAGAGACAACTACACTCTTACACACACACACACACACACACACACACAACTGTACACACAGAGAGACAACTACACACACAGGACAACTACAGAGACAGCCATAGTTGCGCGCGCGCACACACACACGCACACAAACCACAACTATACACACACTGCTCACACAGCTCTAAACAGAGACAACAACCACAAATACACAGAGAGAGAACCACAACTATACACACACACACATAGCCAGCCATAACCGCATACACAGAGACAACCACAACTATACACGGAAGCAGAAAACCACAACTACAAACACGCACGCACCCCCCAAAAATTATACCCCCCCAAAAGGAAAAATCTGCCCCCCCACCCCGGCGAGCACTTACTTCACCCGAGCGCTGCCCGCTCCGGCCTGCACCCCAGCAACAACCGCCCCATCTCGCTAAAGCCATGCCGGCTACTGGGCTGTTTCCGTTCGTCAATTGCAACCTTTTGTCAATTTCGAAGCGCCGCGCACCCAGCAGCCTCCCGCGTTCCCCTCGCTCTGTGTGGCTGTGTCAGGTGCGGAGAAAAGTGCCCAAACCCCACCAAGTATAACTCCCCCCCCTTTTAATCCACAGTCAGTTGTACGCGCTGGCACAAGACCCAGCTCCCCTCACACGTCTCCCCCCAACCTTCCTTGGTTCAGCCTCTGCCCACATTGAATGAAACTTCTTCAGCAGGATGAACTCCCCTCCCCTCCCTCTGTGCGATCCCCAAGCTCCCGTCCCCCGCAGGAGAGCCCAGGATCGGGGGGATCTGATAGTTGGAGGGGGTGTCACTAAAGAGGGGGGCAGGGATCCCAGAGGGATCCCCCACTGCCAATGCTCACATGCCATCAGCCTCCCTCCCGCTTTCACAACGCCTGGCTCTTTGGGGAGAGGGGCGTGCGCGGCAGACAGCCGTGCCAAGGGGCACCCCTACCCGAAGGGCAATGTTAGCCATGCCCTTACCTTTGTGCCGGATGCTCCGCTTCCAGTCCTTGGCGGTCTCCCTGCCGCTGACAAACTGGAACTCGTTAGGGGTGAGCCACTCTCCCCGGTACCGGATGGAGGGTCCTTTGCTGCCCTGGCATAACTTACTGATGTAGAGCAGCGCCTTGTTCTCGCCGCACTCCACCTCGATGCACGGCTCCCCGTTGTCAAAGAAGGGCTGGAAATCCGGGATGGAGGAAAAGCGCTCCAGCATCAGGTCCTCGGGGAGGTGGTGATGGGGGTGGTGCGGGTGGTGGGTCTCGGGGAAGCCCAGGTAGGCACGGTGGTGGTGGGCAAAGATCTGGTCGTAAGCCGGAGGGTGGGGGGTCACCACCGGGATGGCAGCGGCCGCTAAAGGGGCCAGATAGTCAGGTAAGGTCTCCATGGGCTGGTTAAAGGCAGCCAGGGCCATCTCCTCCCTGTCAAGTCGCTCCTTCTTGATAGCAGGCATGGTGCCGCTGCGCTCCCGGTGCGCCCTCGCCTCTCCAAAGCACAGTGGCGCTGATGTCTCCGGTGCAACTTGCCCCCGCTCTGGCTGGAGTTTGGATGAAATGCGCCAGCAGTAGCAGCAGCAGCAGCAGCACCTTTTGCGCTCGGGTGCAGGAGGTGGCGGGTAGTATCCCCCGGAGGAGCCCGCTAGCAAATCTCCTCCGCTGGCTCCCCACCACAGCTGTCTGGGATCCCTCTCCCACCGAGAGGCTAATGCACCGTAGACCCGGGAGCCGCTGTGCTGCTCACAGATCTGCCCCTCCGGACTAACACCTGACATCTTGGAGAGGTCTCTGCTGCCGTAGACATTATTTTGGTTTAAAACGCTTATTGATCCCCCCCACCGCCCCGATCGACCCACCTTCCTACCACGCGGGAGGATTCCCCGCCACACGGCCCCTCGCCAAAGGAGACCTGGCTCCTTGCTTTCCTTTATTGAATAATGACAATTAAACCCCGCGCCCCCTGCCCTCTCCTGCTCTCCCTCTTCCCTCCCCTCGCTTGCACACACTGGACAGCGCTGGGGGTCCCAACGCGCCCCCCCTCCCCACTAGTTTGACCAGGCAAGAGAAGAAGTTTTTCGGGGCTGCTCCGCTCTCCCCTGCAAGCTGCAGAGCCGCTGCCTCTGCTTATGGCTTTATTAATGACCGGTCCTTACTGTGATTAGAGTCCATTTCCCCTCCTGGCTAGAATCATCATCATAAAAGCCCAACTGTGCCACCCCCCTCCTAATGAGCTGCTGCCACTACATGGCGTATCCCCCCCCCCCAGCGCACTGCCCCTGTCCCGCAGGTCCCTGCATGTGGCGGGCTGGGGGCGCGGGGCTCCCCCTCCACCCCGGGACAGACAGACAGAGGGCGAGGTTCTCAGAAGTCACACAATGCAGTTCGGAGACTCTGACCAAACAAGATTTCCCTTCGCCGCCGCTTCTCTAACTTGGCCCATTTAAACAGCACAGGCGCTTGCACACACACACACACACACACACACACACACACCAAAAAAAAAAAAGAGGGGAAAAAAAAAAAGCAGCAAGCGCTCACTCCTGGAGAGGGGGGTTAGCGACGGACGACAGGCTGGCTCCATCGCCCCAAACGGAGCGTTTCTCACCCACAAGGGTGTGGGGCTGGTTGCAAATGCCTGGTGCCACTTTGGAAAGTCAATATGCAGCCGTATGAATGAATGGGGGGCGGGGGGGAGGAAATCCTCTGGGCACTTACTATGTTAAAGGCGTGAAGACAAGTGGGAAAGGCACACACTACAACCTATGTTCATTTTTCTGTAGATCTCTCTCTTGATACACACTGTACAGTTTTACACTAGTTTAGAGACTTTCTTGCAAAAATCTATATCCTGTAAAGGGAGGTTAGATCTTTCCTTCCCCATGAGGCAAGGGGCAAGAGACTTAATATAAATTAACCTTAATATAAATTAACTATGAGTCATGCTAGTCAATCATGCCATGAGTTCTTTCCCAGCTGTACAGTCTCTGGGAAATAGCCACAGGAGATTATGATTGAGGACTAAGTAACTTGTTCGTTATGGTAAATGTCTTGTATAGGATAGAGCAGGTTCCCTATACTGGGGTGCAAAGGGGCAGTGGGGTGCACTATAACAGGAAGCCTGAAGAGGACAGATGTGCTATGATGGAATAAGCGATCAAGAAGAGAAAACAATCAGAAATGATCAATTTCCAGCATTTTACATTAAATATGCCCAACAAGTCTTGCAAGGTAAGTGACAGAAGGGGACAGCTCCCTGACCCTTAACCCCACCTCAGTAACAAACACTCTAAGCTTTCTATCTACATATATCCTTTTATTTGGGGGGGCTGAGGGATAACCCCAGACTAAACGTACTCTGCTGCCAACAAGATGTGTGTTCATTGTTAGGACAATCAACCATCAGCAGAGTTAAGGGGGCTAAGTGGAGCAGTTCCTAAATAATAATCATCCTTTGCACTTGTAGAATGTTCTTTAATTGAAGGATCTCAAAGCACTTCACAGACTTGGGTGAATTAAGCCTCACAGCACACCTGTGAGGGAGGTGCCATTATGTCCATTTAACAGATGGAGAAACTGAAGCCCAAAGAGGTCAAGACTCAGACCGTGAACCCCTTACTGGCATGAGGGAGGAATCTACCCGCACAAGTAATCCGTCCCACTGTAACTGCTCACCAGTGCAGGTAAAGGGTACATATTCTGGCTCTAAGTGATTAGCCCAAGATCTCATGGGGGTGTTTCTGCCCCCTTGCTCACAGCGAATAGTACCATGCTCTGTGGGTAATGCCCTATAATCAATGGACTGCTTGTGTAGAAAGAACCACTCCACCTAATTAAGGGTAGCATAATCTGTCTTATGGTGTCTCAGTGGTAGAACTGGGGAGGGAACCCGGAAGTGCTAGGTCTCAGTCTCCTCTTGGAGCTACTTGACCACAAGCCTTGTTCATAGGATCGTGCTACAGTTTGTTCCCCAAAGATGCAAACTCTGGAACAATTTTCACTTACAACACCTTCATGCCATGTAGGCTTGGCTTATCTGGAATCGAAATTAGCACACCGCAATGCACTGAAACCACGTCTCCATGATTCCTCCAGGAGGGCGCACAGGACTACCCCCCCTCTTTACAGCTCCCAGACCCTGCTGACCCAACTGCCCTGAATTCAGACTTGAATACCCTGCCCAACAGCACGCTTGTGTTGCCATCCAGACAGCCCTTAGCAAACAGCTGTGATGAAACCCTCCTTATCTCTGAGACCTTTTACTTACCTTCAAAAAAAAAGTTGGCTTGCCAAGGGGGTTTTCCCAGTACTTATTAGCACCCTCACTTTTCATCTCTGGAGAACTTAATTCAAATCTGGGGTTAGTCATAAATGAAATGAATGTGGCAATCTCAGTTCTAGCCCCTATATGGAAAACATCTGCCTATAGATGTCTTATCTGCTCATGGGTGTTTCATTCCTGGAAGAGCAGACATTGTTGCAGGCCACAACTGAAGTACTTTGGTTGTGTTGTGCAGTGGCTCAGCAGGGCTTTGAGCTCCCACACAGACCTGAGGTGTGCTGGCAGAACTGGGGGAAATATTCTCTCTGCCTGCCCACACTAAACTTTAGCCTGTCCTATCAATCTCTCACTCTCACAAGCACCATAATTTACTACTGAATGAATCCTTCTGACCTCCTCCCCAGCTCAACGAAAGCACAAGAACACCTGCTGGAGTCCACCCGTCTGGATGGCTGAGTTCAACAGTGGGAAGCCTGACGCTGCTCAGCTCTGGCCTCCGCAGAAGAATTCTCAGGGTTTAATGTAAAGAGATTCACCAGATCAGAAAGATATTGACAAATTCACACATACCAGAACAACACAGAGAACCACATACAAAGAAGGTGCAACTTGCAAATGCTAAAACTAAGGAGCTGGAAAAGATTTGGAAGTCTGGGGGCAAGAGTCGTCCTGTAAACCCCATGTATCAGTGTGGGGTGCAGTGTGCAGGAGGGATTCGTTCTTGGAGGAGGGCAGGTAGGGTTTACACTGTTGGCATCTTCCCAGGTTTCACCAAGTGAGGTCAGCTTTAAAGGGATGATCAGAGCTCCATAGGGATCCGGCTGGCAAAGGCTGCTTGAGGCTATGCTGAATCAGGGAATCCTCCAGGTGCACCTTCCTCGGCAGGTACAGCCCACTTTTGGGGCTGCACTAATCAGCTCTAGTCTTGCAGCGGAGTGGAGGTTGTGGGTGCCTTGCCCTCCTGCAATCCCCACTCAGGAGGCTCTTTGGAGCAGGGACTGTCTTTTTGTTCTGTGTTTGTACAGCACCTCACACAGCAGGGTCCCGGTCTATGACTGGGGCTCCGAGGTGCTACTGCAATACAAATAATATTACATTTTCCATTGCCAGGATCCCTGCATCCTGGAATGTATCACTTAGGGCTGAATCAAGCTCAGGGTCTTTTATTTCTCTCTCAGATCAAATGTGCCAGACAAGTGCAATGTATTAGCTATATTGTAGACCAAGTTATGAGAAGAGATGGTCTTGTGCTTAAAGCACAGAACTGGAAGCAAAGAGACCACTGACTGTCACTGACTTCCTGCGTGACTTTGGATTTACATGCATAGGGCCTCAGTTTTCCCATCTGTAAAATGGGGATAATACTTTCCTTAGTTTAACTGGTTGTTATTGTTTCTTTGTATTACAATAGTACTTAAGAGTCTCCAGCTGAGATCAGAGAGCCATTGTGCTAAACCCTGTACACACACCTAGTGAGAGACAGTCCCTGCCATTAAATAGACGAGACTGACAATAGGGTGCGAGGCGAAACAGAGGCACAGAGGGGTCAGTGACGTGCGTAAATTTACAGATTAGATTAGTGGGACAGCTGGGAGTAGAACCCAAGTCTCCCAACTCTAATAATTCCTATATAGCACTTGTCATCGATAGACCTCAAAGTGCCTCCCAATCTGTAAAATATTTATCCTCAACGCCCCTGTGAGGTCTGGCAGTGCTATTACCCCACTGCATAAATGGGGAACCGAGGCACAGAGAGGCTAAGCGACTTGCCCAGGATCACACATGATGGCTACAGCAGAGCAGGGAACTGAATCCGAGTCCTAGGACAGTGCCTTAACGACGGGCCACACTTTCTCCCCAAAGGGAGTTGTGATGCTTACATCATTAATGACTGTGAAGTGCTCTGAAACCTTTGGATGGGAAGTGCTGGAGAAAGGCAGAGTATTCGAACCATTCCCATATTTATCCCTGGAGTTGTGACTCAAAGAGATATCAACACCTTCTCTCCTTCATTCCTCTCCCCAGGTCGCCTCCATAAAATTACCTTGACAGTATCACACAAGCTATGGGAAGCATATGTTTGTCCCCAAAACATGCTTTTGAATTGCCCTGAGTTTACTGAAAGACAGGAGCAAGACCAGTCCAATAACCATGACACCGCTTCCCGAGCCAATCAAGCTTCTGCCTGCCCCAGAGGACGTCAGGCTGTCTAACAGCCAAGACTCTGGGCTTTTTATCTTTTGTTGCATGCCAGGTGTAGCCCTGCCATGTGATGCTCTGTGTTCACTGCAGCATGCGAGCAGCCCAGCCGTGCTGCCGGAGTCACGCTCAGTGGGATCGGTACTGGAGGTAATGCTAGCCTCAGGCCAGACTGCTTCATTATGGGAGATATTTTGACAGCCGGGCAGCAAGAGCAACAGCAGGCAGGGCACAAGTGGGACTTCTGGGGAAGGGGTGTGGAGATATTGAGAAGGGTTCTGCTGTTCAATCTCACACACACACGGGAATGCTGGGTTTTACCCTTTTCAATCCAATTGAGACAGTGGTAAATCTTTTACACCAATTTATTGGAATGAAAAAGAATCACTGATGGATACAATGAGATTTTTTTCCTTTCCTGTTTTCTAAAAGAGGGTCAACACTGACATGAGGTTACTGCACCAACCTGAACCTGTACACTGCAAACGCCCCCGTCTAACACACATTTCACTCTGATTGTGCATTTCGCATGCTTTCCCAAGAACAGCCTGGTACAGCATGTGTGGCATAAGGAGATCTCGCCTCATCAAGCTCTCTTCACACAACACCTCCTCCAAATTCGCCTTCCCTAGAAAAGTCATCTGTAAGCCAGGAGACTTAACCCAAAGACTTAGGCACTCCCAGCTCTGAGAGAATAAAGTGGAGGAGGGAGGGCAGTGATTTATGTGAAAGCCACAGATATTATCTCTAAACTATCTGCTCCCTCCCTCTAAATATCCAATAACTCCCCAGGCAGGGCATGCATTCCCCCCCCCCCGATAGTTTGCATTATCATTTACTAGGTATACTGACCTATGTCGGTAGCTTTGGGAGCCTTGCATGCCATTAGACAATGCCACACTAAGAATTCCACAGTT